GTCACAACTCTATTTCACTATTTGGCCAATAAAAGTGTGGCTTAGTTACAACGATGGTGGTAAAACAAGTTCATGATATTACAACTAAAGATTTTTTGCCGTTTTATTTGACCCTGTACTTAACTTGGTTATCCTTTGTCTTAGTGTAATAGTTTGTAGTCTCCTTGGTAAATGTTGGTACATCGTGTCTGATATACAGAATCACTGGAAGATATGATCTTTTGATTGCGTAGGATGAAAATGGTTGTCATTCCATTTGCTCAGGGTCTTGCACTCTTGCTAAGTATGTTGAGTGGAGTGGCAACATTATGGAGGAAGAAGCCAAAAAGAAGTTGAAAGCTGCACAACTTCAAATTAACAAATAAAATACGAATATAATCAATTATTAAAAAATCGGGACATGTTAAGTCGGTTAACCAGATTTTGACACGTATATACAAGTGTAAGAATTTTTTTTAATTAGAGTTAATCATATGTCAAAAAAATTATCTATTTATCTTTATTTGTAAAATAGTGAAAAGTAAACCTAATTAAATAAGATTAGGAAAATCTTAATCTAATTTAATTAGGGTTAGAAAAATGTAACTATTTGGAAAATAAATAGGAACAAATTTATTATGATCGTGATATGTGTCAAGTTAACCAGGTTTTGACACGTGTATACAAATATGAAATAATTTTTTCAATTAGATTTAGCTACATGTCAAAATATTTATCTATTTATCTTTTTTTGTAAAATAATGAAAAGTAAACCTAATTTAAGTAGGATTAGAAAATCTAAAAGTAATTTAAATAGTATTAGAAAAAATTATTTAGAAATCTATGAAATAATTTAATTGAATATCAAATAATATAATAAATAAGTATGAGAATAAAAAAAATAGATAAATATTTGACAAACTTATGTATAAGTAATTTCGTACAAATATTCTCAATTTTATTTTATCTTTTCGTGGGGTGATCTAATTTTTTCTTTAGTTTTTTTCGTGTTTGATTTGTTTTACGGGACTTATAAAACATTTAGAGAGTAAAAATTGTTCAAATACAAATATGGAAATAAATTTATCAACATTTTGAGAAATATAAATTTGAGTAGTAAAATAGGAAAAAAAATTACACCTAATTTAATTTTAATATGAATAAGAAAAACTAATGATTTGAAAATATGTGATAAAATGTAATTTTAAATCAAATAACAAATGCATCAAAATTAATACATAAAT